GGACGTGGTTGTGGCATGCACAATGTGATTGCTAAAAAACCACTGGTTACCTAGCATGGCAAAAAAAAACAGAAATCAGTACTATTGGCACTATAATCATCCCCTGAAATTTTTATAGTATCATTTTCCAATTGTATCATACCACTGCTCAATTTTTGAAATTTTGTTTTATTTCCAAAATGGCAAGCCTTTGAATTTTCGCTTGAACTATATTCGACTACCAACTTGTGCTCTAGTTCGTTTGGCACTAATGCCACAAACCTTTAGCGACATCCACCTGTGATTACATGTCTGTCGAATTGATACGGTATCAATGAAATCATTGTTGACTATCTGAGGTTGCATGCCCTTACTAAAATGTACCTATGATTACACTTGTATTATATTTTTCAATGTCAATGTCACTCATTTGCATATTCGTTCATTTTTCAAGTGATGTAATTAGTTGACTTATGACATTATTAGATAATTCTGTAAATAATTTGAGCTTCCATTTTTTATGTAGTTTTATATCATTGGTGAGATGAATGTTTTTTCTTCATTTACTGTTTTCTTCGCTGATGTATTTATCCAAATCAAGCCATATTCCACACAGTGTTTGTTCAAAGTGGATAATAATGTCCAGTAGTGTTGCCATGGAAATAAGCATCAGTACCACATCCACATTTCTGTAACCATCATTAAGAAAATACCTTCTTCCTTCATACCACAGCCATCATATCACAACATGTTATTGATATCACACACAAATAGAATATATCACAGCTTTCAAATCACAACATATTGTTTTCATTCATACTAACATTTTTCAATAGCTATATTAATTTTCTCTTTTAAGCTGCATCGCGTCTCTCTTAAAACCCAATTAGTATGCAGGGACTGTTGTGTTGATTTATGCATATTCCTACTGTGACACTTACCCCAACCATGGAACTTGGTGTAATTTTTATCCTGCTAGTAGAACTTTATTTTTGATGTATACATAAAATACCATGGCAACAAAAATTATCTTAAGACATTTGTAAATAGCATTTAGTGATTTGCACTCCATTACACTCTCTCTCACCCCCCTCCCACTCTCCCACCTCTTAGTAGTCCATGCTGAAAAAACATTTCTGTCTTGATAAGCATTATGAAAGCACTTTCTTCAAATATATTTAGTTTGGTTCCAGCTATTGAACATCAATAAATAAATAACAATTTGTTTTTATTTAAATATATGCAAATTGTATCAACTATCTGTGTCCATTTATTTTTAATTCTAACAGCATATATTAACAATGTAGCAAATAATTAAATTG